CTGGATTCTGATTGGGTATCCAGATCAATAGAGATCTTACACTGGATTCTGATTGGGTATCCAGATCACAAGTGATCTTACCCTGGACTCTGATTGGGTATCCAGATGACTAGTGGTCTTTGTCTCAATTCTGATTGGGTATCTAATGGTATAATTCTGATTGGGTGAATGCAGTTAACTACCCTTGAACTTGCGCACATAACTTTATCGTGCAGACATTGGTCCGAACACGTTTTCTACGGAGAGAAGAGAAAAAAATTTGATTGATTGATTGACATTGTCATTTCATTGTTGTTTAACAATCTGTTTTCCATGCGCGCGCACAGATGACGTAAGCCTTAGGCCAGGATACTGGACCGCGGGCACTGAGAGATAAAAATAAATAAAAATAACTTAATAAAATGAATATTAGATTAAATACAACGCAACGTAAAAGAGAAGGGCGAGCTGACGTATACGTATAGCTTTTAATATCCCCCGCTCACGCGAACAAACATAACGCACGATTTTGAAGATACCGGACCAAAAAAATAATTTGTTTTTGTTTGTACGTCTTTCGTTTCTTCTTCTTTTCTTTCCTTTTTCTCCTTTTTTCTTTCTTTTCTTAATTTCTTCGATCTACCGAATGACTCTTCTTTCCCGTAAAGAATGCATTCACAATATACATTTGTGCTGGCTTTGACCTTCCAAATTTGTAGTTCAAAAAAGATCTCAAGGTATTGTCCAATAACGCTATAATTTCATGGTACCGATAACACATTGCGCGAGATTGTGCTTCAAGTTCAAATCTTCGGAAAAAAGACTCCAGCAAAAGATCGATATAAAATCAAAAGAAAAAAATTCGAGACCATCTGTCCTCGTGAGGTCAACTTGAAATATTGACGTTGGTATTGCTTTGTTTAAATTGATTCTAATTTCTTGATTTAGTTTCATTTGTCGATCGTGGATTTCGACATTGATGGGTTGTAATATGTGTATGTTATTCTGGTTATTGACTTGTTGGAAGCTGTCAAATAAGCCGCAATCGGGTGTATAATTGTACACATGTTTATATAGCACAGTCTGGGGCAAAACGGATTCAATGATATGGTTTAATTTCCCTTCGTAATGGAAGTGATTTCGCAAACCTATTGGATTTATTAGATCAGGGAGTCCCATAAAGCAAAAGCTTCTGATCATTAAGGCTTCATTAGCTAAATGACAATGGATATATGAAATCTGCTAAGACCGAGAGCAATTGGGGTGACAAAAAGCAATTAGATTAAGAGGAAATAGAACTAGTATTTTCAAAAAGAAGTTTTGTCATTCATTCGTTAAATGAAGTTAAAGTTACCGTATAATGTACTGATGGAGAGGCACATTTGATCTCTTCTGGCTGATGTGGTTTTAAAGACCTTTAAAAAAAGCAATAACAAAAAGAATTTTTTCTGCCCCCATGAATGCGTGAGACCACGGAATCAACTTGATCTAAAACCCATGAATTACATTAAATACTTCCAAACAAAAATCTCCAGAACTTCGTCTCCACAGATTTTATCATCACAAGACTGTCCTCCACAACAA